TTTTTTTTCAATTAATCACCTCATCAATTAAAAAACATTTGGTAGGTAATGAATAATTTAGAACACGGTAAAACGAGACTCTAAAGCGACGTGATTCCAACGTCCGAGATGTAATCAGTAAATCGATGGAATTCGCAATGCGCATTACCACTCTAAGATCTCATTCAACGATAGATTAAAACCGATTACCAAGATTGAGGACTGAAATGGACCGTATATACGCTAACAGAGAGGAGAAACGATCGAGTACGAAGTGGGTTCCCGGAATTCTTGTTACTCGATTACGTGATTAGTCAGGAACCAGTGGTAACAAGAGAAAAAAAGATGATTTCTCTGTTTACCCGCACGTTCCACGAGTATCCTTTCGGCGGGTTGGTAGACGCGGGATTCAGAAGCCCGAGTAACGCGAGTGCACGTTCACGCGGATACGTGTCGGTATGCAGATCGTTGGTATTTTATCAATCAGCCGGAGCCAGGGGAGATGCTAAGATATAGATACCACTTGGACCTGTTGCCTCTGTCTCAAGATACTCCTCGAGGCATGCACCCCTACAGATACCAAGGATCCGTCCGGAAGATCGGCGACGCACGGTACTTATTGTTAAATCTGGATAGTGGAGAGTTTAAGTTCTACCGAATCGACGAATTCGTCGATGGTAACGAACTAACGGGTAGACGAAGGGACCGGTTAAAGACGGAATGCGGTCTCGCCGCAACGGAGAGTTTGTAATCGATCAGCCAAACGATTCTCTTACAAACTTATGTAATGTAGCAAACGAATCAGAGACAAGTACATCGATCACGAGTCTAATTTCAATATTACAAAGAGCGCAGTTAAATTAATTTAGACTACAGCGTTAATTCCTGTCATCGGAGATACTGCAATCGATCGGAAATCAAGCCTGCTCGATTTGCGCAATCCTCGAAGGCTAAATCGAGCGGTGATACGGAGCGAGACGCAGAAGCAATCGGCTATCGTTCGAATATTCACCTCCTTTTCTTCGTTACTCTTTGCCGATCGCGATTACCTTCTCTCCTTCGGGCGCTTTACAGCTCGGACACGGCCCTGGCCACACGTTACGGGCTTCAAACCACAGAGCCTAACGTTCCCATATGTATCATATGTTCTGTCCTACCGTACACCGTCACGCGCACGCACACGCACGCACGCGTGTCAATTCTCACGCACTCGTGCACGCACATCGTCCACTTAAGTCCTCTCACGGAGAGAGAGAGAGAATAAAAAAAAAGGGAAACGTCAATTCGAGATTCACCTGCGCCAGAAAAATCAAACTCATTCCGATAGGAATTTGCGCCCGCAGAAAGGGTCGAAACGCTAAAATGACTTTGCCCTTCGTTCGTTACTTTCCAATTAGATGGACTCTGATATTAAGGAATGAAATTTAATGAATCAATGAAATTAGAAACACCGTGCCAGTTTGTATGATGAAGAGGGATAACGTAGCAGAGATACAGGAAACCATAGCGGGGACATACTTTAACTGTTACAGAACAGGCTGCGGTCATTGCGGCGTTATATTCGTTTACTTTACGTTAATCATGGCGTTTTATGGTAATTCAATAGCGTCTTTCCCGTGCGTCCGTCCTCCCCTTCTGTCTACCGGATTAGTTCACAGTCTTTCATTCTGCAATCGATCCTACATCGTCGATACGATTCCCGGGCGCAACGAGGATCGTGCACGGCTGGTAATCCGATCGATCGATCGATCCATCGATCGGTTGTCGTTGTTGCCCCCGGCTAACTCCATGGCTCGTCGATCAAACCTTGTCCCCATGTAAGGAGAACCGATTTGTTCTTTAATAATCCCCTCGTCGTTGGTGCTTAATTAATGCCTCTCGTAATTAGCCGTTCTAGGAGAAGCTAATCACTCCTGTTTCTCTTTTTATTAATAATCCTCGGTTGCAACGATTAACCGGTTCTTCTATGCACTCTTTCACCAGAGTTTATCGTGTCTCCTTATATACTTGATCTCGGTTCTATTTAACCGTTTACGATACCAATGATTTACGGCCCGTTAGAAATATCATAGATCCTGCCTTTCTCCTACATCACAGATTTAAGAATTTTCCTCGATAGTCGATCAGTGGGATAATTGTGAAAATTGAACGAATTTCAAACTCTTTCCTCTGAAAGTTCCATCACTGTGACCTAGCTAGATCGCATCGTTCAAAGGGTTAAACATCCAAGGTTTCCGAGCTCGATAAATTCAGGATCGAAGTGGGGAGAGCATTAAGAACACCGATCCATTACGAGTAATCACTTCTGACAGTATTCGTGGCGGACAAAAGTCATTGCTCCTCGAAGGACTGGCCGAAGAGGTTTTCTTGAATATTTTTCGACACATAATACTCTGGGCGGTTAGCTCCGTGCTCGCTCCATCAACTTCGATCAAATCGTACGAGCAAGACGAAGAGAAAGAGAGAGGTTCCCTCGAGGGACTCGATAATAAGCTTAGACATCATCTCTTCGGAACGAGGAGGAAGAGATGGGACAGAGAAGTTTTGCGGTTAACTTGCATTCAAATGTTTATGATATCATTTCGAAGAACTTTGATCCATTCGTAAATTCCAGGTGGAAAAATTCGATTCGAATAAGATGAGAATCAGAATTGACGAAGAATTGTTACTTTTCATCCAAATCTATAAGTCGTCGTGATTTCGTGGACGGTCAACTATGGTCGTTTCTTACCGAACAAACGAAATGCAAAAGAAAATCAATGGGACGAAGAAGAAGAGGAAGAAGGATAGGAAGAAAATGAAAGAGAAAAGGAGGAAGCGAATGATATTTTTGTGGTAGCGCAAAGTTAAGGCCGTGGCCGCAGAGCAAACGTCGGTCGGCCGCAATCTTCGGTCAATTTCCGAGCAAGAGGCAAGCAATCTTACTGTGCAAACAAAAAGGTGGCCACTGTGGGGTTATCTTTCGCGAAAGAAACAAAACGAAGCCAGATGCAGAGAATCCACTGATCGACCCTTTGTCGGTGGCCCCTTCGGTCGAGGGATGTTTCAGTGGCAATCGCATCGATAATTTCGTTTCGTTTCTCGACTACCGTACGCTGCTTGTAAATGCAATCCTAGTAACCTCTTCCTCGTCGGAATTTTTTCAAAATCATCGAACACTACTCTGTACAGCCTATGCTGCATCGTTCAATGGAATTTTCATTCGTTGCAATCACCTAAGATAATGTAACCGCGCTTTTTGCCGTGAGAACGTATCGATACAATGATTTCTATTCGACGAAAGAACTCGTAACTTCTTCATTTCTACCATTCGTACTAATATTTTCAATTACTATGTACGTTATTGAAATTATTCATTGCCAATCGAACGAATATTGACAGAGAAATACATTGTTAGTAAAAACAACATCGATCGCTCGACGCGAGTAAATTACCATAGCGCCCTCCCCCATCCCTTTCCTGGTAATCAGTTTTCCATCACGACTCAATTACCAGCCGATCTAATTAATGTTTCAGAATTTTTCTTATCGAAAGCAGATGATTCTGTGAGAGTCCAGGGTTAAGACATCGGTCGATCGATCTTTCCTTGCGCCGGTGGAAACAAATGAGCTCCGGACAGCCGAGGTTCGAAGCGGCCCTTTTGAGGCCCTTTGATGCCCGGCAGCTCTTGGGTCAGGCTAACGCCATTCACGGTAGCCGTTCAGTCTCCTCTGACCCCGACACTTTTCTTATTTTTCTTTCACCCGATTCTTTTGCTCCTTTTTCCAAAGACCACAGGCCTGATTCCCTACTGGAACACCGTAATGAACCTAGCGGAATGGACAATGGTCCTTCCACGTCCGATGCTTGATGCCTCGCCACCAGAAAGGGTTAATAACGATCCTTCGTGATCATTAGTAAATTACCCTTTACCACCTCTACCGCGTTACAGTCTACGAATTTTCGCCAAATTTTTCGACTAAGCAATTAATTTTCTTCACCGTTCAAAGTAATTTTAAACCATCGCCGTTCGATGATGATTAAAAATCGCGTACAGTTCCACGACCGGTCCCAAAGCGGTGCAATTAAAATCACAATTGCGGTCAATCGCGGCGTAAACAAAGGAGAGAAGGAGCAGCAAATTGCAAGAATGGCGTTTGCCTCGGAGCCCATTGTCGATGGTAATATTGATTAATTACAATGTAGAAAGTGGCGGCGTGTCAAGCGGACAGACACCTTCGGCGATCGTCCGCAATCATCAAGCCTTCCATTAACAACAAAGAAGTGTACCGTGCCTCAAACTTTTTGGCTCAAACAAAATTATACCTCTACCATTTTTTTCAACTGATATAAACATCTGTGAGAATTAGTTTTCACGGTTATAACGAGAACGATTCTAACAGCTGAACATCATTTGCTACGGATAATAAGATTCTCAAGTTTAATTTTTTCCGGAACAGATGTAAAAAAAAAAAAAAAAAACAGGTAATCGATAATGATGATAGTATGGATTATACACCCCATAAGCGGGCTAAAGAGTGCACGGTCTTAAATCCCCTTTAAAAGGATAATAGAAAAGTTATCGGTAGCGGTACAATAGCAGAGGGTGTCTGTAATTAATAGTCTTTCCAGGGAGACCGACATTTCAACCTATACCTTCATTGGCGTAACACACCAGGCAGATTTATCGTTTCTATCGATACATTTTTATCGAATATTCATGAATTTATAATCAAAAAAATATCGCTTTCATTTCCTTCTTTAACACTCTGACCACCGTGTTACTCGAATTTAGATGAAACACACATTTATACAAAAGTCTATCGCATATTTTATGTTAACAAAACGTAACGTGGCAGTTGAAGTGCACTTTTTTCAATTAAGCATCAATAACAAAAATATCATTTACTACTAGCAAAAGCAAAATAAGTGATGCAGAAGCACTACAAATACCCTTTAGAATCGGAAAGTGGAAGGTCCTTTCTCAGTTCAACCTCCTACCCTTTCTGATCCGAAAGGGTAATTAATTAAGTTTGACTTACCGCATGAATTACAGGGGCTCGAAGTCAATTAATTAATTGTAACTTAGTCCACCCTCGCGAAGCGTGCCTCTAAGGGGATTTTGTCACCTTTTAAAAGCTGTTACGAAGACTCCGGCCTTTCAGCGATGAAATGAATATCCTTCGGCCCTGTAATCAATTTAAAGAACTATTAGAAACGAAAAGGTTATATTTTAGCGAAGGCGAATATTAGGATTTTCATTTAAAAAATAACGTTTCGCTTGTTAGAATGGTAAACCACGTGAAAAGAATACGAAGACCGATAGGAGTAGGGGTGGTTAGAGAATAAGCGGGAATAAAAGAAACCCGGCAAGAGTAATGTCTGGGGAAGCAGTTAAATTCGTTGCATGTGTGCCCTCAAAAGATTTCTACTCGTCCCTACACCCTTTTGTTTCCACGTTAGCTAAGCTTTTGTTTCGGTTATACGACCGAGAATACCGCCAGCCACGGCCCAATAAAACGAAAAACAGTGCCCCCCATTTACAATGCCACGAATTTGCATAATTTCGCGTAATCTCCACCATTTTCCCTCTTCTCGAATCTCCTCGCTTTTCTTTGCCAAGAAAGAGTCGACTAAATTAATTTACCGAGGTTAAGTCGTTTTTCTTAAACACGCATTCTTTTCTCGCACTTTGGCGACAATCACTAATATCTTTCACTCAGATTTTCTACTTATGTAACGGTTATTGTAAAAATTTCGTTCGAAAAACAAAATGGCGGCTATACCTGACGCCGGTGGCGGGAATGTTCATTGCTCCGATAACCTCTTCAATCGACAATGCGATATCATGACCACTCGTATGTCGAAGATAACCTAAAAGATTCGATACATACGTAGCATCAAAAATATCGATTAGAATGCATCTGAAAATTACATACCATGTTAAACTACTTCATCGAACGACAGTTCAAACATCGGTCGAGCATACTTGCTATCGGCAGGAAAGAAGGAGCAAAATGGGGGTCCGGATAACTTTCGCAGCTCGGCAAGGCAACCAGGGCAATAATGGCGAACGGAACTGCTGGCGAGATGAATTCGAATGATTAAGAACGATTGGATTGTAGGTGCTCGCTTCAATTATGAGCAAGACACGCCATTCCCTCGTTATACCGCACTACTCTCGACTACACACCGACGCGGACGCAGAGGCGCGAACTTTTAATACGTGTGAACGCTCCTTTGTTAGTAGCGTGACCAATGAGCACTGACGTTATTAATCAAACGTTCTAACATCTTTCTGTGTATTGTCGCACACACAGAACACGCGGGCACTTTATCGAATACGCGAACCTTTCTTCTCTCCCAATTATCGAGCAGCGCATTCTGGTGGACGTTAAATGTACTAATTTGTTTGACCAACCGAATCCTTTGCACGTGGTAAGTCAAAATATTCCCGCCAAAACTCGTGATCTCCAGGCGGAAAAATAAACGATGCAAACTGTTGAAAACGAGAATAGAAATTTCCTTTTTTGCTTGTTACCGCTCGTTTAAATCAGATACGAATCTTTCTCTACGAATTAATTATGGAAACGCTTCCGGCCCAGTGAAAGCGGAAGTAGCGTGTAAAAGAAAGCCTAATCAGTGTATATGTATAATGTACAGCACGAACAATTTCACGTGTAATTTTTTTTTTTTCAACCTCGTATCCGTACATCGATCTATCGCAAGAGTTGCTTTTCTTTTTTAATTAGAATGATTTACGATGTCCAATTACGATGACTATCAATGGTATCCTGTGCGAGCCGGTAGCAAGCGTTTTTTGACTTACCGAGTAGAATCGAATCTACTTTTTTCGCCACAGTTCAATTCGCGGCGCAATGTTCGCGTAAGGTCGATTAATTAATCAAGCGTTTTCGTCGGCGTGACACGTTTCTCCCTTGAGATTCTCGTATATCTCGTTTGTGCCAACGTAATTAACGCGTCGAATTGTTCTCTGTATGATACAGTGCGGAAACGAGGTTATGTATGTGTTAGTACGATCGCCGGTCTCATGGACGTCTCGTGTCGATCGTATGTAAATCCAAAGCAATCTGGCGATCTCGGTGACAACGAGTAACGGTCGAGAAGCCTTAGGTGAGCCGAGGCGATCGAATTTCGACATCGACACGACTATACATCGCATAATGGCCATGCAGTTACAGGTGTGCCCAATCGTGATCGTTTCACTTTTTTTTTTTTATTGCTCCTACCATCCAATACATACACTTCGATGTAACATAAGCTTCTTTCGTAAAGACTTTTATCATTTACTTACGATTTTAGGTGAACCCAGGGAGAGCCTAAGGACAACCTAACTACACTTCCTCCTAACCAAAGAACGTAAGTTGCACGCGATCTCACAACTACCTGAAATGTAAATTTCGAGCCGACCGGAAGTCATGCTTAACCACGCAAAATTTCCGGCTGTACGTTGAGAATACCGAGCAAAAATGTTGCAAATTGCCTATACATTTTTTTATCAGCTTTCGAATACCGTTCGTTAGAGGTTCGTGTATATGAATGATCGAAAGCGAGATAAACAACAACCTTCCATGAAACATTTTTATCACATCTCCGATCGAAAGTTGCAACAATGTTTAATGTACATAATTACCAATGACTTCTGTGCATCAGGTTCGATTGGCCATCTGTCGGCATGCGGGACGTTCGCGTGTTTACACGAAAGAACAGCAAAGAGGCAGTCACGTAAGAAGCGTAGAAGATTTAAAAACAGAGATCATCGGCGATAGAAAGAAGACACCTTGGTGCATCCATCTTCCAAGGATTAATTAGGACCTCCCCGATTCCGGTGAGTTATCAATTTGCATGTTGAACATAGTTAATACGCTGGTCGTACGATTATATCGAATCGTTCCGCGCCTAATTAATACAAACAACCTCGGTATCGTACGTTGGAAAAAAGAAATCGATGAACAGCAATATATCGTTTAACGAATCGATGACGCTACCGGTCGCGATAAAAACGACAGTTTGGAAAAAAGGCGAGAAAAAGGGCTGCGACGACGAGAGGGGAAGGGGAAGGATGCTTGAAAATTATTCCGATATGAAACTCATCGCGCGGCGTATCGCGTCAAAGGAGCCAATTTAAAACAGCCCTTTCCAAGATTATCAGCGCGTCGTTGCGGTGGGATTAATATATAAAAAAGACGAGCACGGCGAAACAAGGGAAGGGTGAAACGAACAAGAGGGAGAAAGAGAGAGAAAGAGAGAGGGCAAGTGCACAGGATTGGTAAACTTCTCGGTAATTTGTTCGTCAGTCGCTTTGAACCTCTTTTAACCGACTACTGTTCCCTTCCACGCTTTCTTTTTTATTCCTCTTTTTCACCCACCTTTTCCCTTGCACGTTTCGTTTGGAAAAGGAAATTATTGCAAAGTTGAACGGAAAGAAGAAGGTAGAGGGTTGGTGGATAGGGTAGAAGGAAAAACTTTGTGATTAAAGGTGCTTCGGTTTGTTAAATTATTCCGTAAGAGACACAGAAGATAGCATTCAAGATTTTATCGCGATAAGTTCCCGAAGGTATTCCCTTCGCAATTATCGACAAACCTAATGAATTTACCCTTCCCCAATTCAACAACGATTCTTTGTAAATTTCAATCTCGTTCTCCCGTTGTTTAACAATATTCTAAATTTGTTATCATCGCTTACCGAACGTTAGGTAGCAAGCAGTGGCTCCATTTGTCGTTCATCGTCGCGAATGGAAGCATTTAATTCGTGGTTGGCGAGGGTGTCGTGGAAAGTTGAGCGTACCATTGACGAGTCTGTGAAACAAAAGAATAAGCGAAACAGACGGTACGATAAATTCAACGGTAGCCAATTAAGTCCGTAGAACAGTGTCGTTAAACTGCAACTCGTTAGCGCTAAAATGTCGCTCGTCGAGCAGGTAGGACGGTCTAAAACGAGGAAACGTACGTGAAAAACGACAATTAGCGTGCGCTGCAACGTTATCGCGTCAGGAAACTGGCGGTAGTCGCGCGACGATGAAATTGTTACATAAAATTTCGCAAACCGTGTATTCTTGCGACAATGAGTTTCTAGCTGTTCTTTTCATTCTCAAGCTTGCGCTAACAACAATAACTCGAACATTTATAAAAAATCTTGTGAAGATTATAAAAACGTAACTTATTGCTCGCTTCAACTCAAACTATTATTACTCGCGTTAATGGCATATTAAAATGAAAAAGAAAAAAAAAAAGAAGCTATAAAGTTATTTATAATTCAAGTCGTAACAACTCGGTTTAACGTTCGTGCATTTCTTTTATTGAATGAGTAACAACGCGGTTCGAGAATCACCTGTAGTTTCTTTTCTTCCTTAATTGATTCATATAATTACCGATCGCTATCGCTTTAAAAGGACCCCGATAAGCGCGGATAAAATGAATCAGCATCGGTGCACACGTGAAACTTAAACAACCGCGTACACACGCGTTCGAATTACAATTTCAATTCGGTGCATTACACGGCAACGGGAAGCTGTTCCAAGGAAACGGTAACTTATAATTTTCTCCGATCTTGATCGTCAAATTAAGGCCATCGTTACGTGTCGAGTGTACCGTGGCGGGCATAAATACCGAAAGATCGCGACTAATCAGCGCATTGTTCTATCCTTGTACTATGCGAGTCGCATCTTAGGCTTTATTCACACAATTAAGTTTTACTTAAACTTTAGATAAAATTAACACGAGATCACCATAATCGCTTATCAATTTCAAACGATTCAAAATTCATAATTTCGTTTAACTTTGATATAAACTATGGCGCGAATCAACCTCTACGAGTTAAGTTTTTTAATTCGCGCCTAAACAGTCGATTCTACTTTGAGCACCGAGAAAAGAAAAGAAAGTTCAGTCCTCTTCGCGATGGGTTTCTTTTTCAAGCGGATATTTCAAATACGAGGAAATGAAATTGCTTAGGTGGCTGCTCGTTTGTGAACCGGGAAGATGGTAAAATAAAGTAATTGTTGCTATTACCGTGATACCGTGTGTCGGTGAATTGCCGGTGTACGTACACGGTTATACATTATGTATTAACACGATTGTAGAGAGGAGTGTAGGTGTACAAGACAAGGATTCTCTCTTCTCGTCGAGGCTTGTGAGAATCCGGGCAATTACGTGGCTTAGCTCGCTACGGAATATCTGCCTTGTTTATAACGAATTAATTTAGATCTCTTAATTGCCATCGGTTAATTGTTCTGGAACGCGGAGTTCGCCCGTTCAAAGACACCCGGAATTCGTGAAATGGGATTGAGTTAGCTTTCACCGGCTTCTTCCACGCTTCCGTTCTCTCGAACCGCGATCGTTCATTACACTCTTGCGTGAATTCCAAGACTGTGGACTTATAAATTGACAAGGTAGACTCTTTAAACGGGGTCAAATTTGACGAATAAAATTATCGAATTAATTCTGATTACGACACGACATGGAAAATGCAATCGCAAGTCGCGTGTAATTATTTCAATTAAAAGTTAACGGTAATGTTTGGCGAGTGGCAAGGGTTAAAGGAGTCGGAGAATCGAGTAAAATTGCTAGACAGATAGACAAGTTAGATTTTATAAATTCCTCGGTCATTAGCGTGGCTCGAGGAAATGATAAAATTAAATGCGTGCTCGCGGCCGATTACAAACGCACATTATTCTCGCTTTCCTCCTGGGAAAGTTAAGGCATCGAGCGTGTTAATTATAATGAACGTTAAGTAACCGGTGTGCGCGCGGCCGTGCTATTATCGTTTGTACCGAGTAACAAAATCGCTCAGTCCCTGCATCGCATCGGGGAAAGCAGTTTACAGCTTGTTACTTATCGCGATGAAGTGCACTAATGCGGTAATGCACGTGAAATCCTATCGACCGGCAAATCTACCATGAATTGAACATAACGATGTTCGAAACGGTACAACGCGAAACGTCGTAACACACATTTTTCGCAATTTTTCGCTTTACTAAGATTGGTTCCTGCATTCACGCTTACCTTAGCACAATTTCCTTTTTCCACTACGGTATCTCAATAAATTTCTGCCGGTTGAAGGAACTGCTAAAAACGATAAATGGTAAAAGGAAAAATATAAAAGAACGCTTTACCATCTTTCGGATAAGTGAATTTTCCTTTGAAAAGTCATTACCTTTCTAATCGCTTTAATTCCGACGCCTCTTCGAATTTCACTCGTCGCTATTGCGGAAATAGTTTCCTCGTCTTCCGTTACTATGCTGAAAGAATTCTCTTCATTGTGTTCAGGATCGAGGGAATGCAGCGTGTCGGTGCATGAAACTTAATTGCACCGTTATTGGAATAATTAGAGTAATAAATACGTCCCTCCCGGCTAGAGGGTACTAGAGTGTTACTAAAGTAACAACGAATAGATCGAATCGATCGTGGAAATCGTATAATCTTGAATCACGATAGGAAAGAAACGGAACAAGATTTGAATTATAATATACGAGACGAGAATTAGACACGTACCGGGATGAATCTTTTTTTTTTTTTTTTTACAAGCCATTTTCTCGTCGGATTACCACGACTAATTCGCATGACTACGGTTTCTGGGCTTCGATCTTCGTGTAGATGACGGATCGATGGCGATTCGACGCGTGAAATTCGAAAGCAACCAACGAAATACACGCGGTAATGACTGGGTAATAATCGAGACCGTGGCTCGCGTTGTAAACGATTCGAAAAAATCGTTAACTGGCCGGAAATCGGTAATCGGCTGGAATAATCGGTTCCTTTTATATCTGCTTACGTTTTTCTCTTCCTTTCGCGTCGCATTAGTCGCGGACACGCATTTTTCTACGTAAAAACGAAACACCAGAGGGTGGATGCCGGTAGAGGGTCGGCCCTTTTTCTCTTTAACCGAACTCGAGCTGCGCATATTCCCTCTGGTAACGAGAGAAACACCCCCTCCAGGGTCTATCCCTTTCGATAGACTTTAGAAATAATTTTCATATTTCGATTCCGGAGACTATCGCTAATTATTCCCTTTTCTTCGACTGCCTACAATTACCTGTTCGTCCACGAAACTCATCGGGCAAACGGGATATCCTAATCGTACGGTTCATTATGAACGTGCGCACGCTCGCGATGACTATGACTGATGCTAAACCACGACGAATTGCGATGCACATTACGAATAAATATCGCACTCTTTGCTTGGTCGGGTTTAATGTGCCCGCTCGCGTGATTGCCACTTGGGTGGGTTTTGAAAATGCATCGCTCCAGACCCCGGAGACATTACGTTTAATTAAATTTTACCGTGTCATACGACGATTATCTTGCATCGGGGGCGAGCAAAAACATTTAATTCGATGCTTCAGTAAATTCTTTATGCACCCGTGTATCTTTCCACCGTTTCTTTCACCGTACGCGATCGTAACGAGTATATTGCAAGGGTAATGAAAGAAATACCTATCGAAGAGATGAAAAACGCGTGGACCTTGTGGAAATTCGAAATTCTCTCGCGAAAATGGTGATTCTAAAGGACGTCGGTTGGCGAAGCGATTCAAACGATTCCGAGCTCCGCCATCTATCTTCTGGCACGTTGGTAGCGAAGAAAGAAGGCATAATTAAATTAAATTAAGCCCGGCTCTCTCGGTCTCCGCTCCTCTCTCCTTTCCGCTGTCCTACCAACGGCGATAGTCGACGCCGCCTTTATTTGCAAGCAATTTGCGCTCGCGGATCGTGCTGCAAAAAATCAGAAAATAATGCTGCCGTATTAATCATATCCCTCCGCCCTTGTTCCTCTCCTTCCTCTTTCGCTTCTGTCTGTCCGTGCCCCCCTTCACACATTCCTTGCTCGTCCGCGTACCGACATACTTACGCCTCGTCCTCGCATATTTACTACCAAAAAACATCGCATCCGTGCTAACACAATTTAGTGCACTATTTAATACGCTCTGTGAGACTTCTCGGCTGCAAGAAACTCTTGTTAGATGGATTTCGAAACGTAGAAAGTCACGACGACACGAAAGTACGGTGAAGTAATATTCAAAGCAACCAGTTTCAGGAAGATCTATAGAAAGAAATTTATTTTTTTAACGATCGCCAATCGTTCATCACCTGAAATCGTACGAACAATTATTAATTATGTAAGAAATCACAATCTTACGTTTAATGAAAAATTAAACATAGGGGAGGAGTGTATTTACACGTGATTCTGGAATCGTGTAGAGGAGATCGTATCGTATTTATTAACAGTCTCGATGATAATGCAAAGTTCAGGATTTCTTCGACTTCTTCACGGGCTCGAGACCGCTGCCGTACTCGGAGGTGTTGAGCATCCTGACTCTCTTCAGCAACCCGGTCTTCCGCTCGTCAGCTTGACGCTTGTGGTGTTGCTTCTTTGCCGGCTCCCCGTCGGGCCTGAAAACGCAGAGACGCTCCTTAATCGTCGCATTAGGGCTAACCCGCAATTTTCGGTAATTCGACGTAAACGACATGTGGCGAGGACAGAGCGAGGTAATCGAAAATCGACAAAAAATTGTCGACCCAGGCGAAATACACCCCCTGCTCCGCGACGCTGGAATTCCGACAACTGCCGTGCCGAATTTCACCTTCGCCACCAACTTTTTTCCTCCCTCCTACCCGTGGAAACAACAAACTGTTTAAAAAAGAAAAAGAAAAAAGGACATTTCATCCGCAAAAACACTGGTACCATAAACTCTGAAATTTCAAGGAAACTGATAGACTTGTTTCCAGTTAAAGCGGCGAAAAGGAGATGCGATAACAGAAGTGGTATTTCAAAAGGTTAAAGCAGAATTTATATTTCGACTCGGGTCACGAGGAACCCTCGGCGATCCGTGGGCAGGAAGGATGGTGTTTCGTGCGACTAGTACACCCGCACACGAAGCGGATACACGCGTTTAAGCACGCACACATAGGTGAACGTAATCGCAGCCACAGAGGCGTATATACACACCGTGGGTCTCTCGATCCATTGGACCGTCAGCTCGGTGCCCGCCTTTCACCCATTAAAACGGACTTGTTCGCTCTCTCGACGGGTGTGGAGGGTATACCCGTCGCTTAGCCGTTCTGTGCATCGAAAGCACGCCCATTCAAATAGCGTGAAACAAATTAGTGGCTAACGTTGGACCTAGGAGACCCACCGTGCGTGTCGTCGAGCGATCGAAATTGTCAGCAGGAACCATTTCAAAATTTAAACCAATCTCTGTACAGTGAACGGGGTAAAAAGAGCGAAAGCGTGGGAGTAATTCAGCTGACTGCAGGGAGAACAAAGAGGTGACCGTTCCATCAGGAGGTTGCAGCGTTATGGTTGACCAAGCAAACGCGAGTTGCACCGGAAAAAATAGAGATCCTGACGGCAAGGGAAACCATAAATACGTAAAAGCTAAAAAAAAGGAAAAAAAGGAAGGTAGCGAACGATGAGGAGAAAATCAGAGCGACGGTGTACGAGATTTCCAGAAAGAGAGGATAAGGGCGAGAAGGAGAGGGAGCGAGGCGAAGGGCGAAGAGCGAAGAGGGAGGCTCGTGCTCGTCCCGTGGTTTCCGTAAATGGCGCAGCCAGGGCCGGAAGTGGCGGTCGCATCAGTCTGTTTAATAGCCGTATTGTATAATTATGAACAATGGAGGGACAGAGAGTCGTCGGTCGGAGAGAGAAGAGGAGAAGCCTGGAGAAGGGCAGAAGCCAGCCGAATGCCATGTGAAATGCATACCCGGGAGAAAGATGGACAGAGAGCCGCGATTTCCGTGAACGAGTGAGGGAGAAGCAAAGTTAGATGGAGAGAAACAAAGAGGAAACGGAGAGGGAGATGGTGAACGAGGAGGATGAGCAGGACGAGAGCCGTATGGCTTATGGCTGCCAGCCACCGTACACCACGTCCGCCCGTTCGTCGTACATGACGAATGACACAAAGCGACAGTTTTGACGTGTCCTAGCCTCTCTAGGAACCACGAGCTGTCCTCTCGCTACGTTTGCCTCTACCTATCTGTTAACACACGTGGTTGCGTTTGTTAGGCACCGTGAAAGGGAGGGAAAGAGAGGGCAGAGATATCGGGCGGGTAGCCACAGTTAACACGCCAAGCCACGCATGAATCCGTCATTAATACAGCCAGTTCTCTCGTCTCCGCGATTGTCTAACTCGCAGGGTACGTCCACCAAGTGGTCGGCCCACGGTCTGATTACGGGAATCCTTCCGTTCCAAGATTCTCTGCTCCTTTTGTTCTCTACGTTCACTCTGGTGACAATTGCTAGCAGTAAACGGTAAAAGAATCGAGAAACTTACTTTTCGTTCACAAGCCTGTTGTTATGCTGCGCTTTAGAACTGTCCTCGCGGATCTTCTTCCCTACCACTCCGATACGTTGCGGAGTTTCCCTCAACGCGAAGCTCTTGGCAAAGTGACCCAGATGAACGTTCTTCCGGTTGAAGATCTCGCGCATGTCCCGAGGGTAGCTAGAGTAGAATCTTATCCAAGAGGTGTACGCTGAAAATCATGAAAAGACTCGGTTATTAGAGCCGACAACCCCAACTTTTCATCGTGGTTAATCGTCCATCGGGGCGAATTTGAACAATGTCCGACGAGCGGTGCGAACGAAATCTCCGAGTAACCTTCCCCGCCCCCACGTGTAAATGAGGCCACGTGCACCGCAATTCGGACCTAATGATTGGCTGCGTGTAACGCGCCCTTATTAATCGAGCTTCCATTAAGTTCTACTGGGGTTAGCGATTTTCTCGAGTGTGTATGTGGCCCGTGGCGAGCTATTAAGAGGCATTAACGGGGGTCGAGTCAAGTGCTGTGGCTAATAGTCAGCCCCTTATCCCCTCTTAGCTACCCCTAGCTTCCGTGCGCGGCTGAGAAACTTAGGGGTTCACCGATCCTGAGAGAACTTGACATGTGCCAGTGTTACTGTCATCCCGTGCGAAAAATCTACCGTCAAGTGCTTCTCGGTCTGCTCTTTTGACGGATCGGTAAATCTACCCCTCGTAAATTTACGTCCTAACATGAAAACTGCAATTACTCGTGTCGAAAAAGATACTCGTCCAGACAATTCTACTTTAGCCAAGAAAAGTTAAACGTGTTTAATTTCGATAATTCACGGGTTCCAGCTTATGTCTTGACAGTTTCCGGCTGAATTTCCGTCTGCCCCGACTCGTTTCTTCCGTACGTAAGAAAGTTGCAAAGATCTTTGTCTGGTGGCAGGGTGTTGGGCGTTGAAAAGGGAGAAATGTTTTTCTCCATTTAGCGCATAAATCAGTCGCGGGGGTGGTATCTAGACGAGAAGCGAGAGGAAGGGGGAGAGAAGGGAGGAAGGGTGGTGGAAGAGTAAGGGGTGGTATTGTTCCTAAGTGATGTAACTGCGTCTTATTGTATTTGTATCCTGTATCGCATTGTTAAGAGTCTCTCGCCACAAAGCGTAAGTGGTTTTGGCGGAAGCCACATTCAGTGGTTGGATTGTGTCGGCCACCCCCATGCGAAAAGCGTACCGTCGGTCTATACTACCTTCAATCTAACTCCTTGCTTACGTTTTAACTACCATCTTTTCAGTAAACTATCAAAGATTTTACTCGGTAAAAGATTTTGTCCTTCAACCGCTGTTTAATATTTTTATTAAATACTAACTTTATTGAAACGTTAACCAAAGAGGAATACTGATCTCTTAAATCCACCGGTATAAGCATGGATCAGTGTAAATATGTAAATAAGATTATATATGCTGATGCGTTTTAAAGAGGGGTATATTTGTCCGTTGGAAATCCGTTTGCCGAAAGTTACTTCGAAAAGGGTATAGGTAAGAGCTGGTATAAAGGACGACACATATATACGAGATGGAATGGATGAATCTCTTGGGTTAGAGGCAGGGGTCGAAGACCAGGGGGTTGTTCCATGGAGTTGTATTCACTATTGAGGGCTGTTCGGCTCTATTGGGGTGATAATGTTACGAATTAGCGAGATTTCCACTTCTACACACGCTGCCCGGCCCCTACATCGGTCACGAATTAAATAAATGCTAGGGGTAGGAAAGAACGTACAACGTGGTGGTCATAAATTTCACTTTCCTCTTCTTATAATTGTTCATTGTAAATACTTTTCGCAGAGATACAAATTTGTTTCCACGGTCCAGCTTGTATTTTTCCTATAATCCGTGCCACCCCCACGGGAAGCGCGGCATCGAATAGTCGACGACAATTAATCTATCAATCACCCGGAGCACGTAGAGGAACGGTCAAGTGGTTAACTGTGTACCGTCACTCAAATCTGGAACGGCTAAGCGCTCAAAAACCGTGGCTAACCTTCGTGTAAAGCCAGCCTTGACGTGAGACAACTACGAGAACTCAAAAACCTCTTAGGAAAGATTTATGGTAGTTATTTTTTCGTTTTTGGAATCGATCACCTCAGCCTTTCACAACTACGTTTCTTCTTTCAACTCGGAGAACTGTTGTGTTCGTACGTGCAAGGGTGGTGAATATTACGCACCCTCTGAACCGAAACTCGAATCATCGTATCCTAATGGATTTATTATTGCAGCAAATAAATTCTTCACCCTAACGACCCTAATAGAGCAACCGTGGCATGGCAAACAAGATCATCCTTCCTCGTCCGGGCAGAGAGCGAGAGAGTATGTAAATATTCGAATGACGAACGAAAAGCCGAGACAGAACGAAGCTTCTGTAAACGTGTTCCATAGTATTATGGGAGGGGTTTACTTTATATGCGAATAGGGTGCCCGTTGGAATTGGCTTAGTCTACCCTGAAGTCAGCTCGCTTTCGTTCCGATCCAACTGAACCGAAGTGCCCGCTCTCCCTCGTTCTTCGCTAAATTTTCGTCAACACTTTGTGTTTCAACAACTTGAAATCTTGTTAACTGGAAAACCCTCAAGTTGCGACTTGACCTTTTCTCATAGTTCCAAACTAACTTCGCGTTTTTCATGAAAAGATTAAAAATCTTACCCCGGTGCGCCTTCTCCCGGAGTTTCGAATCTTCCAACACCAAGTTCTCAAATTCATTCTGCAGCGCTATCGCCGCACCATGGGTGGACGTATGCTTTGATAAAGGTGTCATTAATTTATCTAACACATCGTCCATGTTCTCTTCTTTGATTCTAATGCGTCTGGACTCTAACATTCGGACAAAATCAATCTCTGATGGTATCAGAAAGATCACCGCCGAACCGGAAGAACCAACTCGCGCTGTTCTACCGATCCGATGCACGTAATCCCTGGCGGAAGTTGGTCCTGTGTACTGCACCACGCAGTCCACTTTCGGCATGTCCAATCCACGAGCAGCTACATCCTGAGGAAGAAAGAACAAGAGACATTTAATAATAGTGGAACGAACGTCGAACGATATTTATTACGACCGGGCTAACTTCTTTCTCGTATTCATTCACCCTGGCGCCTGGACCATGGCGTCGAATTAATTCGATGAAACAATATGTAAAAGGAAAAGGAAGGAATAAATAAGAAGACAGACACATCCGTATCGTGCCGCGAAAGAATTTTCGGGGCTCCGACGCCCCCTACTGGTGGTCCAGGATTAGTCTCCAGGGCCGTCAAGCAGAAACCCGATGTGCTCCGTTCGGTAAATCATTGGTTAACCGAACGCAAGGAAATCAGGGCCGTGCTCAAACGTTCGCTGTTGGGGTCCCACAGCGGGCGCTCGTAGCCAGCCGTGCGCGTTCACCTTCTTACAAAACGAGAAATCGACGCGGTTTGTAAGACATTTGTACCAGCAGATCGCACGCTTTACAACTCTTGCTGGTTGCTTGTTGCATCAACGACCAAGAAGACACGTTCAATTCGATGGATAATCAAGAAATCAAAGCGTTCATCTTGTCGTGACTGGAAAACGATTCTACCAATTCCTCCCCGTACACATTAACGTTATCCGATAGAGGCTCTGTTATTTCCTCTGGAAAGAAACGTTCTCAGATCATGATAATTGATAAGTTGAAATAAAGCAAGCTCGATTAGAAGTGGACCGAAGGATAGGCTGATAAAGCGAAATCGGTACCGAACGCCTACGCGTGTCCAGATGAAACAAGCAGCCCAGTTGCCACCGGTGCGATCTAACGTAACGAAAAACAGGGACGAGGAGCGATCGATGGCAGCGATTAAGACAAACGATCGTTTAGAAGAGAGGCCGCGATCGTGGCCAAGAGGATCGAGAACGGATCGTCCGTTCAAAACATCTCACTCGGACCATAGATCACCTCCTTGGATCCGGATTCACCACCGCTGAGAGCCGCGGAACATTCCATCCGCGGGGGCTCTCGTGAGTTTTCAACGTGGAAATTAATAACGCTGCCATAGAATCTCCGTACAAGTGATGCTGTAAAATGTAGGCGGTTGCCGTCGTTGTTCATGCTACGAGACTGACGATTCTTGGGCGTCTTAAAAGTGAATCGACGAAAGTTTAGGTAGAAACAATGTTTCCTTGAGTCATTGCACGAAGGAACTGGTTGGAAATTAATTGGCCCGCATTGGATCTAAAGAAGGCAGAAAGGATGATCAAAACCTGTAGCGAGTTACCGTGAAACACGTGTCGAATCGACCATGCGATCGCCTGACGAAAACGAATTAATCTCTGCACTGGGTATATGGTGTCATTCGTTGCGTGTCGCGGGTCATGAATTTTAGTATTCAACCGTTCAACCGTATTTTGACATTTTTTTTTTTTTTTTTTTTTGTATCTCTTTAGTAACCACGAAAGTAACCATTGAAATTCGTTGTCACGATCTATTAGATTTCTTGGCGAAATTTTCTCTCTGTTGCGAGAGAGGGATCGTTAATGCGAGCGTTCGCTGTGTTTGAAAAGTAGAAAACAATTAAAGAAAGGGGCTTGTACATAACGGGCAAACAATCATAATTATACTCGTTACGAAGGCCTCATGTGCGCGCATAATTTTTAACCTCCGGACACAGCGTGGGTCCAGAGATATTAAATTCCGCCCTGAAAGAATAAGCCACGGGGTAATTTACTGCTCGGGGAGTGCCGCTGGGTATCCCTAGCTTTTCTTCTCTTCTTCCCTTCTCTCTCTCTCTTCTTGCTCCTCTTCTTCATTGCTGTTTTATATTAATTTCTATTCTCGCGGAACTGTTTCATTGCTTTCGCAACGCGTCACACGATTTTTTTTCGTTTTTTTTTTTTTTTTTTCGCTAACTGTCGTCTAAAAATAGCTTTTGTGTACAAATCCGCGGAAATTTATCACTTATCTCTTGAGCAACGAAGTTAATGCAAATACGAAAAGAAGATAAATATCGTCAAGTAAAAGTATTTAAAATTAAATAAATTATGTTTCATTATACTTAAATTATGATGCATAAAACAAGAGTGACTGGCCATTCCACTCACCGTACATAGTAGAACTCCGCTGTTTGCCTGTCTGAAAGTCTTGAAGACATCGGTTCGTTCCTTTTGAGTCATGCTGCCGTGTAATCTGAAGAACTCAACGTCGACCAGAGGATCCGAATCATCGTCATCCTCGTCGGCTGGTTTAGTCAATACAGAAGAAAGGATCTCCGTATGATAGTCTACCATGTCTTGAGTTGCCATAAATATTAATATCTTGTGTTGTCCATGGCTCTGTTAACGATACAAAAGACACTTCCCAACGTTACGTCACATAACTAGACATTCGTTAAAAAAAACAAAATATTATAAATCTACCTGACACTTTCCCGCGATACAGGCGCTCAAAGTAACCATTCTCAGTTTCGGTGGTGTAACAATGTAACTTTGAGTCACGCTTTGCGGAACTATTAAGTCTTCATTCAAATCAGTCGCATCGCCTCCGGTTATTTCCAAATTTTCTTTCGCCGCATCCACGAAAACAGGATGATTCATCGCGAGACCCGCTAATTTTTCTACGGATTGCGTTAAGGTCGCGGAGAGTAAGATCGTTTGTCTCCCACTCTCATTCACGCTATCGTTATTATCTTCCTCTTTTTCCGTACTGTTTTTTAACTCGCTAGATTTCTTCTTGTTTACCGGACCCGAAATGGCCTTCTGTTTATCTAATTTTTTCGATTTAACGTAAGGTTCTCCTTCATCGGAATCATTATCGCTACTCGAGTGATACGTTTGTTTTTCCTCGTCGTTAGTGTCCTCAGATTCTGACCATGCATCTTTGTTCGATTCGATGGAATCATCGTGATTATCAGTTTTCACTTCCTGCTTAGAGTCAGCGTTAGTTGCCATCTGATCGATGTCCTCATCGGTAAAAACCTTTTTAACGTTTCGCTGAAATATTTTCATCGCGTCGTATTCCGTGTTTTCGTTCGGAGTCGAAACCTTTAAAGCACTTACTATGCTGTAATTACATTGTAAAACGGTGTTTTATTAAATAGTCGACGCATTATGTGAATTTAGCTGTAGGGACATATAGGTACCTTGATATATCTTTTTCGTATCCCATGTCAAACATTCTATCTGCCTCGTCCAAAACGAAGTACTTAACGTCGCTTAACTTTAAAGCGGCTGTTCGTTTTATGTGGTCTAACAATCTACCAGGTGTACTGACTAATATGTTACATCCCTTTCTTAATCTAGCTTTCTCTGCTTTCCTCTTTTCACCCCCTGCTAAATATCCCGGTACTATCCACGTAAACGACTAAAATCATTTACAAAAATAATTGGAATATATACATGAAATCAGTTACTAGTTATTCATACACCACTTACTTTTATTAATTTTAAGAAACACTCATAGGTTTGTAGAGCCAACTCTCTAGTTGGTACAACAATGAGTGCTTTCAAACCACTGTTTCTGTTCAACTTTGGCCTAATCCTATGAAGAAACTCAACTATAGGCAAAGCATATGCTAATGTTTTCCCAGAACCAGTCTGAGATCGAATTAAAACATCTTTCCCAGAAAGAATCTGAGGAATTGCTTTCTGTTGAACTATAGTCATTTTAGTGATTTGCATATTTTGTTCCAAATTGGATATCTGGTGAAATGTTTCAAGATCAATAAATCATGATATTATATTGAGATGAATTGCTATTACTTAATACTAACCATAAAAGGGTGTATGTTAAAATCGGTAAAGCTTGTTGCAGCAAAGACTGGCTCATTTATTGGTTTTATTAAACGCTGACCAATATGTGGTATTTCTGGATTATGACCAAACAAGGAAGATATTTTTCCAGCAGGCTTATGCAAACCATATGTACTCTTCTCATTTTCAGTACTAATATTACTCTCATTTGTCAGTTTTCCTGCCTGTTTTTGTTTCTTTTTTTTACTAAGATTTGATTTTTGTACGGTATGAGAAATACTTTTTGACTCATCAAGTCTAGGTTTTGTTTTTGCATTAACATCTTCAATTGAATCTACTTTCCCAAGTGAACTTAATAAACTAACTTCTTCTTTCTCAGGTTCTTTTTGTTTAGAAAATATACTAGCAAGAGTTTTGCTTGAACCTTTATCTGGACCTTTTCTTTTCCTTGCTAATAGGGTTTTACCAAAGTTTTCTTTTGTAACTTTAGTAAATGAGATTATAGGCTCATTAGAAACTTCATTACCCACAGTTAAAGATGACTTATCTGTATCTATATGTTTCTCATCTACTTTCACAGGTGTTTTAACCACCTTTCGTTTAGTTTTGTTATTAATATCTTTAAACTGTACTTTTGATTTTGATTTCTTTTGTACCACAGAAGGTGGACTCTGACTAGTCTTATTGATTTCTTTTAATTTTTGTGTAACAATTAATTTCAAGTGTTTTTGTTTCACTTTCTGTTTAACTGTACTGACTGCCTTACTAGAATCACGTTTTACTTTAGTGCTGTTAACAAGATTTGTTTTCCCTCGAGCTTTCTGACTCCTCATTAAATTAAGAATGGAATTATCATCTATTCTTGTGTTCTATTTAAAAAGAAGAATCTTGTTTTAGCAACAATAAAGTAAAAGTATGGTATAACCTCTTACCTTGCCATCACTGGATTGTGTAGAAACGTTTAAACTTATTTCCATATCTTGCACGGTCATTTCGTAGCTTTGTCTTGCTAATTTGCACGTTAAAAATGAACTACTGTTTACACACGTTCAAAGTCAATGAAAAACAAACACAATCACGAGGAACGCGAAACCTAACCTAGAAAGCACATGTCAAACGCACATTACTGTTGCGCTACTAAGGAAACCATGCGCATGCGCGGAACGTAGCGCGCGGCTGGTTTCGAGATTATTATCGAAACTGTCATCGTTTGCCGCGTAAGTTTAATGCGTGATTCAAAATTCGATGAAATCATTCATCGGAGAAGAAATATCTGTATTACTGTTAATACAACTACGCCTTGTAACGTTATGTTTTCCACAGAGATAGTACTATTCACTCGGGATTATCGCGTATAAACGATCAAATAAAATGATATTACGTATACCTCGTCCCTGTTGCGCGTTCGATTATGATAGATTAGTGGCATCATCGATACAACGTGCAACGATTCAGTGAAACATTTATCACGGCAGTTTGATGATCGGTGTTGCCTGGTCGAATGCGCTACGAGGATTAACTCCGAGCCGATCCCGAAGCAACCCGAAAGCTTATGTTTACTTGCTGCTAGTGCTGTTTACACTTTTGTTCGCGGAGTCAAACGTTGTCGTTTCACGCGGTAACGAAAACGGTGATCGTTCGAACGCCTCGAGCATTTCGTACTTGTAGTCCGTCCTATCGAGACGTTACAATTCGTCATGAGTAAACTCTGCTGTATCGGGCTATCGTTGGCCACCAGGATCATCGGCACGTACACCATGGTGAGTGACAAACAATCACGTTGCCAATGTTAAACCGGTTTTACACAGTGACGGGGCACGTTAACGCGGAATATCGTGAAAATTATCGCTTGATGACCGACGTTCATATTTTCACGTCCAATCTGTATTACATCCATTCGTGTTCTTCTAGTCGCTCTCGGTACTCACGATAAACGTGTTAATGAGTAACTATTTCTCAAGAGCCACCGACAACGAGTTCTTCGATTCTATTCAGGGCTGGGCTTTCCTCGGTTTAAATTGGATACAAGTGTTAAGAAGCTCGCAGGCAGAAACGAAAGGTGGGTACCGACACGTAAACACTGCTCTCTTTTCTTTTATTCCTATTTTCAATTAATTATTATGAATCAAAATTCGTAGCACAAACAGCGGTGGTATTTTTCCTCGCGTACACGATATCATTTTTATTGGCCAGTGCTTATCTCGCTTTGGGATCGATCTCCGTGAGTATAATTATTCTTGATGAAATAAAAATAAAATAAGGTAACGTTAGAATACGAAGATAGTCGTGTATCGAAAGTGAATCGATCGAAGAACGCTTCTTTATTTGAGAAAACGTATTTTCGGCACGTATCAACCTTGCTAAACTCGCTAACGATCTCGCTAACTTCCGCGTACGTTCACAGAGGAAACCAAAGTGCGCCGTGCCTTGGATGTATTTGCAAATGATTAGCATAATAGATCAGTCTGTGGCGCTATCTATTCATCTGACACACGGATCGGAATACGATGCTTACGATCAATCAATGTGGTACATTCCAGTGTCCAGTGTTTATCTATGTAAGTACACTAAAATTGCTTGGTTAATGTCTCGGACATTAGCGTGCTCGATTTTGCAATTTAATTGAGCTATTATTTGAACGCGTCGCGTTACGAAACGGAAAGGAACGCGATCATTTACTTTGCCGTCTGCGACGTTTCAACGTGACTTTAACATGTTTTTACAGTATAAGAAACTTGTTATTACTAGTATCATTTTTGTCGATCTAGTGACGAGCACGTACTTTTGGATGGTCGTGCAATCCGCCCGGAGGCAATGGGCGGAAGAACGAAATGGTTGTGCCGATGTTGATACAATGGATATCGCGTCCGCGACGCAATCGAACAATGCTAACGGGCCGAAATCGCCGTCATTTCTATCGCAAAACTTCGCGATGTTCGAATCCCCGAGACCGCACACGATTTTACCGAAATAACCGAACGAAACGCGTGAATTCTAAGGCAAACTGTGTTGATAAACTTGTTGTCTGCATCGCAAGTTAGCGCGTGCCTATTTTCGTTCGTTCCTCCGAACGAGAAGGTCGCGGATCGAAGAACGGATCTTAACTAATTATCTAGATAAATCGTATGCGCGTGATGACTGAAGTACCTTTAACGTTAGCGTATTTATTTATAGTCCTGACCCGTCCTCTCTTTGTTAAACGTTAAAAAGCATCGAGTGATTTTCTTGTCTGTTAGAAAAATCGTTTTTACAACTGCTTAGTACGAGATGATACGTGCTTTTTCGCGGCGATCTGCACGAAGTATGCCGATTTTTAAAGAAGATTCAAATCTGAAGTGCGCGTAATAACCATTGATCACGATCGGCTAATGGAAAGAGCGTATAGCGAGGAAACTACCAGAATACGAGGAAATCTCGGCCTCGTAACGGGGCAAATGTATAATAATGTGGGTAAACTCGATAAATCAGTCCGGGGGGGTTGCGACTAATAGAGTGTATCAAATGCGACCACGGCCAAGCGTGGCTGCATAGAAAATATGAGAAATGGTCGCGTTTTACGTCGGAATACTTTTAAACTTCCTTCGAATTTGAATCGCGCGCAAAGCATATTCCCTTATACCGGGACCGCCGTCTACTCGATGGAGGTCGATTTGTCCGAAAATGGTCGGAACTTTTCGCGAAACTCTCGGGAATAATGATCTAGGGTACAATGGACGATAGAAGAAATCCCCCTTCGCTGCGATTTATATCGGCCGTTTCACCGCGTTGCCGATCATTTGCGTTCCACTGAAAATAACACGATCCTTGCAAGTCTGTAAGAGGTCAACATCGAAAATTTGATACGTACAAGATGTCCACGCTTGGTGTGTACAGTTGGGAGGTAGGAGAAATTGTTTTTGTGAAAGTTGTATAGTTTTAGATAGGACAAACATTTGTTGTATCTTCTTAGAAACGGGGAGCTTAGTGGAACAGAAACACGTTAATAATTTCCTCTTTTAATGTGCAAACTCGTAGATGTAACACGTGCACCTGTTCCACTGAATTCCCCTAAATATGTAATAATTAAGTTAAATAAAGAAAAAGTCGTGAATGTACGATTACGAACAAGGAGGTTCCTCTTCTGTGTACAAATTGACGCTCGCAAGAACTTCCGTAAGCTTTTCGTTGAACGATACGGCTGCGAACACGAAGGAACAGACAGGAGGAAGAAAGAGGGTTGGGTACCGCGACGTGGTTGGTTGGCGGGTGCTTTTAAAAAGAACTGAGCGAGCCAATTTGTAGGCTGTCGCAAACTTTTAAAACACTAGTTGACAGCCGCTCCGCCTTCTCCGCAACTCGTGCACCCTCTTCGAGGTTCGTCCAACCATCCAGAAGGATTCCGGCCACCATCCAACGTCTCTCTCGTCTTTCGACTGGAGCACCCAGTCGACGGCGAAACTCACCCCCTTCCTGGCCCTCGGGTGCTCGTGGGGAAGCCGATGGATTGTAAAATAAAACTAACTTGGCTCTTTCGTGGCTCGAGAACGGAGTACCCGGCGAAATCTTATTCCCTCGGGTCTCTTTTATTTTCGCGTACCCCTTTTTTCCCCCCCTCTTTCTTCCACCCGGCCGGGGTGCAATCACGAAAAAGAGCTACGCGGAAGATAGATACGACCAGAGAGAGTTATGCTTGCTCGAAGAAACGTGAAAGTTTCGATCCTAGTTGAAATTTATCGAAAATTACATTTGATGCTGTTACCTTTTCCTTCTTTCATTTTTTATTTTTGTGAATCATGTACTCGTGTCTCTTGTTTTTTAAGTAATAACAAGGTGTTTCTTTGATATTTTTCCTTTGATATACCAGGAGCAACTTGAAATAGTTTTACGAGTATCCGACGACCAAGAAGAGAAGGGTAGTCCACACGTATGGCGCACATAAAAGATGGTGCGACGTAATTAATCTTCTTGTATGACACTTTGGCTGGTTACGGGGCAGAGCTTGCCAGGAGCCAGTACACAACATCCCACTTAAGCTCGACGCCCAGAAAACAATTAATACGAAATTGATTAATAATTATTGCGTCCCAATTTCGGTTCCCTTGTCGCTCGCTCTTGCTAGTCACGTAACCGTGAAAAAAGAAATTTTCCCATCGCTCTCAGAGATTGTTTGCTTCTCCCGTGGAACACACCCCTGTGACCAATATTCGATAAAGAACGTTTGTCGTACATTTATCATAGAATTTCAAATAATCATCGTGTAATTTTCCCCGTTTCAACTACAACTAACTCGATATTCTAATAGAAAGGGTTGAAACGTTCAAAGTGTTTCAATTTCTCAAAGTGGCTTTCATTTGTTCGTCGTCGAGAATGGACAGTCGATTTGGCATTACTTTTCCAGACAGACAGACAGACAGATTTTATTGATCTGCCGTGTTGGTTCTCCGGCTAGCCACGGATAAACGAAGAGGAAAAGCGGAGAATCGAAGGATAGAAAGAGACGATGATGGAACGGCGGAACTGAACGCCCCATAAAACTAACCAATGCTAATACTTCGCATCTCTGCAGTGGCGTACTTTGAAGATAGCGTGCTTTTCAGCTCGTTCGTTCACCGGGACCAGACGGGAAATTCATCGCGACGCCGATGTCCTGGACCGGAATCGGCAATAAACGCGTAACCGAGCCTAATTCGTAATGTTGGCTCAGTCATTGTGGCCCATTGTGAATTCTCTTCCCCTGTTATTCGGGGTTCACGAGTATAATGCTGGGGTTATCGCAGGAAACTGCCAGTAACGACTGTAAGAGGCATGTACTCTTCGAAACGCGCGCCCGATTCCGCTTATCCTTTCATCGTTCTAGCGAATTACCGTCCAATACCGAATCGTTTTCCTTGAAATTACAGTTGATTGTTTCTCTGATTCAAATTCACGCCTCGAATATTTTATCCTTCGTCTCCCATTCTCTCACCACGAGATCTCCGTTTCTCTTGCGAACAAAAGTCTAACTGGAAACGTGGATCAATGACCAAGGGACGGATATGGACAGGAGAAATCGCATTACTTTTGAATTTCTTTCCGTTCCAACCAGGGCTGGCACG